AAAAGACGTCAAAGGTTAAAGTTTTCACCTACACAAATTCCATTAAAACTTACCTTTTCAACGTAAAGTTAATACGTTATCATCGATGGTGCACGAATTGTTACAGTTGTCTAGCAGGAAAATATTTCAACGTTTAATATTTTTTTATAATTGAGATTTTTTTAAAAAAAAGTACATATATACATGTTTATGCATATATGGTGGGGCTAAAAAGATAATGATGTGTACATTACTTGGACATTTGATGTGGCTGGATTGGACCCAATTTGCTCTTTGATAGAGACCTAACTAAAACAGCTTTGCTCTTCATTCATTTCTTCTCTAGAATTTGAGTTGCTACCTCACTATTTTCCCCCTTCTTATGATTGTTGTCCACTGAATTTGAATTGTTTGTGTATGCAAATATATATCACTCATCGAAGACAATTCTCGGGATGTGCTTTAAATCGACTGTTAAGCGTACGTATTCTATCTTTAAAAACCACTTGGAATGTATGACTAGTATTTTGGAGATCGAAAGATAGATATTACCTCCTTTCAAAGAACTAAATTGTTTATAGTATTTGAAACCGGAGAGACGGTTTATATGCTGGAGCTGAGATTTTGGGGGCTTAACACATTTCTTAAAATCTCTAAAAAATTTAGGGGTCAAGGTCAATGTTTAGGGGCTTATTCTTAGGTTAAATTTTTCTAAAAAATTTGGGAGCCAAGGCGAATGTTTCGATCGGGTGTGTTCAACTCCGGCCATGTTTATATATAATGTGGTACCTTATACATAATGAAGTGAAAAAATAGCAGAAAGGGATGTTAAATGGGAGAAAAGAAGGGTGGAGATGTAACAAAGGCGAAGATAATGTATATTATTGGGACGTTGTCCTTAAGGCCACGAGCTTAGATTCTTTTAGTTTTGCTCAATTTGTTATGTTTCTACTTTTCCTTTTGTTGCTTACTACTTTTGCTCATCATTTCCATATACATATCATACATAGTATATTATCATCAAATGGGGTTCTCTATTCTCTATGTCTTGTGTATCATTTTAAATCTCAAAGACGTACATGTTTAAATTTGGCTATATAACTATGATAATTTCAGTGTACAGTAGAAACTCTATAAATTAACACTCGATAAATTAAATATCTTTCTAAATTAATAAATTTGTTTTCATAATTTGGATCGGTTCAAAATTTTACACAAATAGATAAAATAATAAGATAATAATTTTTTGAGAAACTTCTATGTAAATATATGGTTTGATTAAAATCATAAATTAATAATTATATGTATACATATTTTATATAAGTAAAAACATATCATTATAATGGTTGTTTTATATTCACAATGGAATTCTCTTTATATTCTCTTAACACTTATTATATTTTTGATGATATTTGGTAATATTATGTGTAAACCCACATTTAAATTATATGCAATATATATTATATACACAAAATAATATAATAAATCTATATAAATGTTAAATTTTTTAAAAATAATAATTAATGCCTATACACTAAAATCAAATATTTTCTTATTTTATAAAAAAATATTTAAAATAAAAATCTTAATAAGGCAACTTTTGTAAATTACTATCATTATAAATTAATAAAATTTTAAAGTCCTAACATTATTAATTTATAGAGGTTTACTGTATATGGTGAAATCAAAAAAGCGTGGCCATGGAATGCTTTACGCCATTTAAAGGTATCAGCAAAAGCTGGCTCCGGGTCAGGGGTGACTACAGATCTACGAGTTGCGGAACTTCCCTGTTAAAAAAATAATAATAATAAGTCAAACCTGATTTAATATATATATGCAATCTACCAATTTTGATTAAATACTACCACTAAAAAAAATTTAAATTGATATCAAGTAAATTGATCATCATTTTCAATTTGTTTTTTTTTTTTAAATCTTAGATCATATACAGTAGGATCTACACCATACACACATTGCACCATGCTTCACACAATACATTTTTGAGGTTTGAATAGTTATATAATTAATCTGTTGGCCCATTTGTTCCTTAAATCCTGCGTATAAATCTGTGACCGCTATACATTACACTGTTGTTAATTGATTCTCAGCTCTACCAATAACATCTATAATCTATTGCCAAAGAAAAGGCCTATTTGTACTTCACTGTTACCGCTGAACATTAAATATAATAATTTAATAAAGCTCTCTAAAACAAGAAAGAATTACACTGAAAGACAGTTTTAAGTTTTTTATAACATAAAAAGGCAGTTTGTACTACCAAGACACTTTATTCTAACAACTTCTCTCTTTTCTAAATAAACTAGTCAATTCACAACTAAATTTCTGACTAACCAAACCAGTTATTTCAAGAAATAATCTCAACCACACAACTATCTCCCATTTAAAGACTCAAATTATATCTATTTATTTTATTGACAGGATAAACAAACTTGGTCCCATTATTTTTCTTCTTCGTTTTCTTCTTCCCAAACATTCTATTTTTTTTCTAAACTAAAATCTGAGTCCTCAGATTTTTTTTCAAAACAACATGCATGTAATTATTGTCTCTGTTGCTCAATCTATCTTTTAAGATAGGTCAAGGTGCATCTCCGATGATGATTTAATAATGACATATGAAAAACGCCATCAACGACAGAGACATTATCAACTTGTCAACTTTGGCGTAGCAACGACGATGGCGGAGCAATTTCAACGGCAAAAACGATGCAGAAGACCCATCATCCACCATGGACCAGACTATGGAAAAAAAATATCCACTAGACCACCACCAGCGAGAATCGTGACTGTTTTATTTCGGAGATTTTGATTGACTCACAGTCTCAAACCATGACGAGCATCGTTGTTTGTAGTATCAAACCGTGAGACCATCTACCTGAGCCGCTACACTCGTCGTCGCCGTCAAGCTCCAATCACATTCGCAGAGAGAAAGCTCAATCAACAATGGTAAAACTCTCTCGTATTTGCATATTTAGTCCATTATTTTTAGGTTAAATTTGATTTTGTCTCAAACACTATGATTTGAACAACCAAAGTAATTTTTGAATGTACATGCATGTCTTTGTGAATTACAAAGATCGTTGATTGGTTGGAATGTGATGTGTAAATTGGATGTTTATAAAAAGTGTCCATGTAAATTTTTGTAATAATTACGACATGAACAGATTCCTATATGTAGTGTATACATGAATATTGTTACAACAATGTACATGTGAACATCGTTAAAACATTGTACATGTGTACATCCGTTATTGTACATGTGTACATCCATAATTTTACATCACATAGATAAAGTCTGAAATATATCAACACCTATACTATCGAGATCTAAAATACACCTCATTTATGAAAACCATAATCTTTTTTATTCACGTAAACCACATTTCCTTGTCCTTATATCTACAAATATAATGGACTTGTGTACACTTAGAAATATATCAACACCTATACTATCGACATGTATGTACACTTTGTGACGTGTACACGTGTAGAAACTTGAAAAAAATTGAAGTTTAAAACAAATGGACTTGTGTACACTTTGTAACGTGTACTCATGTACATCAAAAATTACCCAATATGTATAAAGAAGTTGTACACATATAGGTGAATTGGTGGTTACTTACAAAAAAAGTATCAAAATACATAATAATACATATGCACATTTGGAAGTATGTGACCAAATAAAAATAATTTATTTGAAAATCAGAAACATTTGTGGCAAAAACATAACAAAACAAAATGACAAAATGACATGAACCAAATGTTGTAAAATAAAGAAAAAATATATATCTTTGTTTGGATTGTACAACTAAAATTTCAGGTCAAATTCGTGGACAACTTTGAAAAAATAGAAATTTGAGACAAATTGGAAAATAAATAATAGCTGGAGGACCAGATGTGCAAATAATCTAAAATTCACCATTGTTGCTCCAAAGAAGCTTTCTCTTTCATCTGCGTAAAATTTAGTGGTACTCTCTTCGATCTGCGACTATGGTGAAGAAGAGACTACTTGACTTTAATAGGGAAAATTAAGTTGCGGATTGAAGTCACCGACAACGGAGCTCTCCGACTGTTCCTTCACGTCATTCTTGGCTAATGAGTACTTGTTTGCAAATCAAACTTGAGTATGGTTTGAAAATGAATTGAGATGATGAAGGTGGATCTGTAGTCGGATATCACGGTGGTGATTCGAAGCTCTCCGATAGTTTATTGTAGGGAGGTTATGAAAAGATAAAGGTGAAAGTAATTAACACGACCCCACCATTCTATTTCGAAATTCAACAACGAACCAACTAAAAAATAAAATAATCTAATTAATCTAACTAAATGAAACGAGACTAGTTGTGCTTTTTGGAGTCTTTTCACAGAAAACTACCTCAGTAGCGGTAACTGCTCTATTGTGTTATAAAAAACTTGAAACTGTCTCTGAGTGTAAAATACTCCTAAAACAAAGGGTTCACACTTTATTCCAAAAGATTATAAAATAAAATAGACAAATTCATTTAAAATCAATGGCGTAGATATTTTTGTCGGTCAAGATTTTGTTTCATATATCTACAGAGAAATCTCCGCCGTCAATGCAAAGCGAAGGTGACACTTGGGGATGGTCCAGCGGTCCGTACTACAATATTACTTCTCGCTCACGAGACGTCGATATAACATTTTCTATTAACATTTTTCACTTTAGAAACATGGACCTGACATTAGTACAAAATATACCAATGAGAAGTCGACACGGATCCTTAAGAAAACCACACTGGTTTTGAAAACAAGAAAAAACCAGTTTTGGCTTTCCCCTAAAACCGCTCTTACCCAAATCTCTCCATAAATAAAGAATGAAAGAAAGATCCCGAGACTCAAACACAAGTCTTATTTTATAAAGAAAGAAAAACTTTCCTAATTGGATCATACCAAAGTCTGAGCTCTTCTTTATCTCTCTTCTTGTAGTTTCTTGTTTTGTTTGGTTCTTTTAGAGGAAATAGTTTCTTAAAAAGGGATATAAGATGGGAAGGGGTAGGGTTCAATTGAAGAGGATAGAGAACAAGATCAACAGACAAGTGACATTCTCGAAAAGAAGAGCTGGTCTTATGAAGAAAGCTCATGAGATCTCTATTCTGTGTGATGCTGAAGTTGCCCTTGTTGTATTCTCCCATAAGGGGAAACTCTTTGAATACTCCACAGATTCTTGGTAACTTTCTCATTTAAGAAACAAAAATATATTTAAGTACTCCATTCGTCTAATTTTTTCATGGTTTGCCCTAATTAATAATTGCAGTTCTTATTTAGGTAGGGTTTTCATTTGTTTGGATTATTAGTAGTTAGATATCTTTCTAAATCTGTTAACTACTGTCAGTAGATGTTTATTACTTAGATCTGTAACAACCAAAAACCAGAACTTAGGGCCTGGAGTTAAGTTAACCATAGAACACTAACTATACTATAAATAGATCAAGATATATGTATATATATGTCTGTAAGCACCATTATGAATTGGTCTGTTCTTCTAGCTGCCTTTCAATTTTTATTTTATTTTTTTGTCACAAACCTTTCAAATTTTTAAGAATCTAATTCTGAATTAATGCCAAAATAAGAATTTAAAGTAAATGTTTGGTTTCACTCGGCTCTTAGCTAGGAACTCAGGGGTTAAATATGATGTTGAAAGCCGAAATATGTGATGAGATGGAAAGAAACTGGTTTTCGAGCTAGGGTTTTTGAGCCCTAAACTCACTATGAATTATCTGATCTCCCAGTTGTAAATCTAAGAAACAAAACGGTTAATTTTCGTCGGCTTTGGGAAGTATCATGAACTCATAATTTAAAACACTATAGTATTAAACGTAGTTGCTTCGATCTGTTTTATTAGACTTATTTTACTAATTGAAACGTTGGAAATAAGGATGTCAAATCTAAGTAGGGGGTCTTTGACCTCTGGGGATCCACGAAAAGAACTAACTTAATCCTATGTTCGGCTTCTTACCAATGGTCAAACTTAGCCTTAACAGACAACAGCTGTTCTTCTTTCTTTAAAAAAAGTATTATTCCTATTCTGTAACAGAATGAAACTAGTGATTTGATCAGATTATAGTTATTATAATGTGTCATTTCCTCTAACAAGATTTCTTGTACACAATTATAACAATTTTACAGAAACCGCAGCTTAAGACTCTAAGCTAGAGGTATATGGTTATTGGCTCACTGTTTTGTTATAGAACAATTATAGAGAGCTGTACAAGATTTGATCTAGGAAATTAAATATTGGTTTTAAGGGATAAAAACATCATTAAGACCTAGCTAGATCTACACTAAAATCTCATGAGAACTCGACCCTATCCTAAGGTTGTATTTTACATGATGGTTTGCTTGTTTTACATAGTCAAAATAACATATATATATATATATATAATATACGTGTATAATATATGATCATAAATGGTTGATGCTAGCTCTAATTATGTGAATTGGATAGTATGGAGAAGATACTTGAACGCTATGAGAGGTACTCTTACGCCGAAAGACAGCTTATAGCACCTGAGTCTGACGCTAATGTAATCAATCTCTTCATTAACATATATATAGATCAAATGGTTATCTATTTCAATATTGCTGATATATATCTGTATTAAAATTGTGAGACACAGACGAACTGGTCGATGGAGTATAACAGGCTCAAAGCTAAGATTGAGCTTTTGGAGAGAAACCAGAGGTACATTGCATTCATCATATATATATATATATGTACAAGTATGAGATAAAAAAAAAACTGGGAGGATTAATGTTAGTTAAAATGCGCGCATGATATATTTAATTAACAAAAAATGCTATACTGAAATCAGGCACTATCTTGGGGAAGACTTGCAAGCTATGAGCCCTAAGGAGCTCCAGAATCTGGAGCAACAGCTTGACACTGCTCTTAAGCACATTCGCTCTAGAAAAGTATGAATCCTCCAATTTATCTAACATGTATACAACTTAAACATATGCAAGTGTTAAAATTATATATGTATGTTTGTGCAAATATATTGGTTGGATATAAAATAAAATCTATCACGTCGATTAGAATGTAGGAATTTTAAAAATGTTAGTATATATATAAGATCAATATTACTCAATGTAATCATGGGTGCTTATGCAGAACCAACTTATGTACGACTCCATCAATGAGCTCCAAAGAAAGGTATGTAAACACCCTATAAAATGTTAGTGTTTAAAAAAAAAAAAAACACCCTATAAAATGTAAGTTTACATAAAAAAACTGCGTATAAGAAACCTATTGCGGAGCTAACAATCGTGCCGTTTTGGAATTGACAGGAGAAGGCCATACAAGAACAAAACAGCATGCTTTCCAAGCAGGTGACTACGAGATCTTCATATATATCTTTTTCACTTAGCTGTGGCACCAGCATAATTAAAATATAGATAAATATCATTTTATAGTCTATGATTGGTATAAACATCAGCCGGTACGTACATGGGGTTTGCCCGTTTAGTTTTAAGATTGTTTTCCGGATTGAAAATATTTTAACTTGAAAAGTGGTCTCATATCATTCTACTTTGGTCATCTTAAACACTACTCCTAATTAAAAAATATTAAGCTAAAAAATATTGAAGATATGTATAAGAGTTTATTACATGACGCAAGAAATTATTGGTAACCAAATTAAAGATCTAAATACAACTACATTTGATGCTATATATATATATATACATTTATTTATTTATTTATTTATCTAGAAGTCGTGGCTTTGATAATTGATGATGATGATATCGTGTGGTATAAGCTGGTAACAAACTGGTGTGTGAAATTGGAACCTGTCAGATTAAGGAGAGGGAAAAGGTTCTTAGAGCGCAACAAGAGCAATGGGACGAGCAGAACCATGGCCATAATATGCCTCCACCTCCGGAGCAGCATGAAATCCAGCATCCTTACATGCTCTCTCATCAGCCATCTCCTTTTCTCAACATGGGGTGATTAAAAATTCGTTCCTCTTGCTTTCAAGTACATATATATAGCCATATGTGTTATATATACAAGCTGGTTAGGTGTTATAAGTCCAGTGAGTTAGGTTCTGTGTCAGTGATGGTCACATATCTAAGTTGTGAATTACCTATAAGTACACTAAGATAAGATTTTTCATGCATATATTAACGTATAGGTCATCAATCCAATGGTCGTCAAATGAAATTAAAATTATATTTTAGGGGAAAATATAGATGGAATAGCTGCTATATATAAGCCTAAGAAACCTTTGGGATCAGGTCGGTTTTCTAATTGTTAGAATTAAAACTTGAGTAAGTTAGATAAATAAACTGTCTTTGATATGGAATTTTTTTTCTTTGATATGGACTTTACCAATTTCACTAACATATGATATATTGTGCACCTATATAGATAATTATGTAAGTTATATCATGTGTATATGATTGTGAATGCAGTGGGCTGTATCAAGAAGAAGATCAAATGGCAATGAGAAGGAACGATCTCGATCTGTCTCTTGAACCCGTTTACAACTGCAACCTTGGCTGCTTTGGCGCATGAAGCAATTCAATAATAATATTTATTGATCATCAATAATAAAACAATACATAAATATTTTGGCGAGCCCTTCTTATCCAATTAATTAATATATGTGGGCAAGTTCCATGCTCTTGTATCATATATATAAAAATTAGCAAGCTCCTATTTTCTTCTCTTCGTATCTTTCTAAAATTCTTTTGCTTCAGTATGTGGCAAAATTGTAATATATATTCAGTATGTGAATTTATATTATTGAACCTTCTAAAAAACCAGTGTCCAAACTCAACAAATAAGTTCTCACCCGTCTCTATGAAATTTAGGTGATATTTGTTTTCTAGTTTTTAGATGTTGGTTTTGTTAGATTTTAATTTTTGATTTTTACTTTTTTTTTTTGATTTTTCACTAGATTTTAGTTTTTAGAAAAACATGAAGGATTATTTTAAATTTTAGTTTTTAGTTTTGGTTTTCATTTTTAAAATTAATAAAAGAAAATATTAATAACTCCAATTTCTTAAAAAAGTAGTGTAAGTAAACTTAAAATACTTAAAAGGTATCTATTTTTAGCTTTACATGTATTTTGAATGTCTTTTTAGAGTATTAGGTGTAGGTTTTATATAAGTACTTTATATAACTAAAACTATTGAACTTTTTTAAAAATTCATTTTTTTGTTCTTGGTCGTGAGTTGGAAGGGCAAAAGCTAAGAAATGTGGATTTTAGTTTATAAGAAAAATTAGTTTAAAGAAACAAAAACTAGTTTCCCTAATTTCAAAAAACCAAAAAACTAATTTAAAAACTAAAAAGTGAAAACAATCAACCTTCAGTTACCTTCCTTTAAGATCTTTTATATATTTTTATTAAAAAATATATTTTATATTGTAGGTCTCTTGAACTAAAAAATGTCAACAACTTTAGCTATCAAATCTAATGCTTTAATTTATTTAAAACTTTATATCAGAGCTTCATGAAAACTAAAGACAATGAATCTGTGGAGATAATTAGGGATGGACGTTCGGGTATCCATTCGGATTCGGTTCAGATTCATTAATTCGGGTTTTCGGGATAAAGATTTTAATCCTATTCAGATATATATAAATTTTGCTTCGTGTTCGATTTGGATCTTTGCGGGTTCGGATAAACTATTTAAATTATTTTTAAAAATTTTAAATATATATATATTTTAAATTTCCCCAAAAACTAAAAATAAAAATAATATATAATTTATATATTTGAGTAATGTATACCAGAATATATGAATTAACATAAAAATTAATTTGGATGAAAATTCAATAGATATTTTAATTATTTTTAATGTTTTAAGTACTTTTGCTATTTTGTATATTTACTTTTGACTATTTGTACACATTTTCAAATATTTTAGATATATGTTGGATATTACATCTAAAACTAATTATTATATCCAAGTACATAAATTTCATTCAGATATATTCGGTTATCCGAAATATTTGAGTTTGGATTAGGTTTGGTTTCAGTTTTCTAGATACCAAAATTTTGAACTCGTTCGGATGTTTAATCAATTTTGGTTTGATTTTGGACTAATTTTGGATTGGATTCGGTTTAGTTTTTCGGGTTTGGATTTTTTGCGCAACCCTAGTGATAATAAGTTTAATAACAGTCACCAGCAGACTAGCTAAGGACAACCATACGAAAGATTTGGATGAGTAAAATTTAACATTTTTATTAAAAAGTTAAATATATATTGCTTTTTTTATCAAAAAAAAAACAATATATATTTAACTTTTTAATATATATTGCTAAATTGACAAATATTATATATTAAAACAGAAGTCATAACTCATTTCATGTGTGATTTTTTAGTTTGGACTATCTTTAAAAAAATTATAATGCATAACATCTTATAATATCTTTTCATATTTTAATTTTTATTTAAAATACAAATAAATATTTTTTTTTTAAAAAAAGTCTAACAAAATCTTTTCAAAATCTAATTGAATCTTTTCAAGATATATTTTCGAAAATTATTTGATTAAAATTTTAAATATCATAAAATATAATTCATATTTTAATTCATATTTGATTTATAAACAAAAATTTAAAACTATGTAAAATACTTTTAACACTAACCTAAAAATTTGTTTATGATTTATGTAGGTCCAACCTAATTTATTTTTTACCTATATTTCAAAATTTAGAAATTAAAAAAAATATGTAAATTAGTAATGTTACATAATAATGTTTTTAAAAAATTGTGACAAAAATACAAATTTATAGATTTTATATTAATATATTATAAGCCACATAAACATTATTATAAAATCAGATAGTATGCAACATCAAATTATATTTATTTATTGATAAATATTATTTTGTAATTTAAACATTCTAATATTAACATACCCGCACGGTTGTGCGGGTCGAGATCTAGTATCCATTAATACGAATATACACATGCAATAGACTGAGAGATAAAGGTACATTTTCAAGTATTCAACTCAGTCCTTATCCCAAATGGAATTTTTTTTCACATATTCATTGATTAAATATACCAAATAAAAATAGCTAATCATTTTTCCAAATAGCAAGCCATAACGAATCTGGTCGAAGTCTTCCAAAATCTATAATATTTAGTTACAACATATTTAAATACATTAAGAAAGAATTGGTGACGAAGAAATTTTTTGCAGCCGTCATGAATCTGAGGATATCTCTACCTGCTCTGTAATTTCACCCTCCAAGAAAAGCATTGTCTGTGAAAATCACAAAACGTACATCAAAGGATAGATATAACCAACAAATATATGTGTTAAAATATATATATAGAGATGAAAAACCTTGGAACAAAAGGGACAAGCTTCACTTCTCTCCATCCATTCATAGATGCAGGCAAGGTGGAAGATATGTCCACATTGTAGAATTGTTTTCGGATTATCCTCAATGTACTCTGTCTCCAATGAAAATAGTAATGCGTTAACTCACACAACAATCTTTAAACCAATTTTTTTTTTGTAGAGTTACTAATTTTACCATAGAAACACGTCGGACAAACGTCTTCTTCTTTGTTGGCGACAGAGGAAGATTCCCTTCTTTCCAGGTTTCGAGATAGTTGCTCGTACTGGATCAAAACGAAGTTGTTAGCCTTTGACTAGTTCTGCAATTTCTATAAGTTTTCTGGGAGGAAAAGTAATGAAACTATAAAAGGAAAGTAGGGTTTACAATGTGGTCGATACCTTGAGGGGAAAGTTAT